TTGTCCAAAAATGTTAAACAGTGGGAGCTTCCACCAAAGTCTATGATTATGAGAACCATTTTATGTTGCTGCCTTAAACACGTATTTGGTAAGTAGGTACAGAAACGTCATGGATTACATGAAAGTATGCGCTAGAACATTGTCTATATACAAATTGTACGTTGATTGTTCAGTGATAAAATACATAAATAGAATAAAATAATTTATAGTACAGTTAACGCGTACAAGAAACATTTCAATATATGCAATATATCAATTGTTACTTTTTTTCTCTCTTTCTTTCATACTTTCGTTAAACTCACTAGTTTGTTCTTTTTGGATTTTAAGTCAAAGCCTCGATCCTGGTATGTTGGACACAGACGCACTACATTATTCCGTGTTCCACTCACGCTCGCAGGATAACTTATATTATCTTCAAGCAAACTTGTATCCTCGATCCTGATTGGTCGATCCATGGCAACAACAGTGTGAAATTATATTGTATTGCACGGTCAGCATCGCACTCTGCGTATTGCGCTATTCCAAGATGCGAGCGACACTCCAGCTGCATGCGCAAATCCGCAAAATTTGCGAAAAAGCCTTTCTTTTTGTTCTGATTTGTTTTTTGGGGTTTTTTTTTTTTGGCTTTTCCGCATAGAACAAAAAAAAATGTTTTTGTTCTCTTTATTTTGAAGCTGTTTCCAATTTCAATTGAGAACAGCTTTTGTTTTCGTTAAAGGTTTTTATTTCCTTTTTGGCTTTTCCGGATCAGCAGCAGCAGCAGCAGCATAAAATAAAAAGCAGCATGACGTCATCATGTGATTTTATATAGATTTATAATGTTTTGAAAATTAGCGCTATATCTTTCAAACCCAACATGCTAAATGTCAAATGCTTTTTGTATTATGTTTGTTAGGTAATAGGTATATGTTCACAATTTTGAAAAGCGTGTCACGTCATCATGACGTCATCAAAAATGCGATATTTTTTTTGAAACCAAATATAAGGGAAAGTTCGATTGTCATGAAACTTGGTGGATAGCTAAATAATGGTACTAGTATGCAAAATCCAAATGACGTTACCATGACGTCATCGCATGATTTTTTATGATTTTTTTTAATATAAACAATTTCATTCCGCTTCCAAAATCTACCCCTTCTTTTCATTTGATTGACTTCAAGCTTGGAACATTCCAAGACCACTATGCAAAATGTGCATTGACAAGTGTTGTGACGTCATCATAAAGGTGTATTTGTATATATTGAGAAAACTATCAGTCCGAATGGGTCATTTGTATACTTTAGGACCAGTTGTACTATATAAGCTTGGCTTTGCGTATCATTTCATCATTTTATCCCTTAACATTTGAAGATTGCATTTCATTGATTGTGTTATCGACATTAATCTAAAATTTCCAAAGCCTCCAGGCGCTCTCAATCATCATGTAACTTGAATTCGGGCGTTTCACAATGCAGTGCGCCACCAAGAGTTTGCCACGGAGAGTTCATTTTCCCAGTGCATTGTGGGAGATGGTCGACAAATTCGCAGCGCGGAATATTTGAAATTGTTCGTTTTTCCGGTCAGTAGTTTCGTAAGCGTATGATTCGAGTATCTTTTTGGCCTTTCTTTACTTGTTATCAATGTGGTGTGTTTTGTAAGGCGGCAGAACGCTATGCCCCAATTTATAACAAATTAGCCCAAGTTGTCTACTGACACTCATTCAAATGGGCCATGTTTTGTCGACCATAAACTTGAAAAATAGACTCTCCATGGCAAACTCTTGGTGGCGCACTGCATTGTGAAAAACCGTATTCAAGCGTTAGACTGTTGCAAATGTTATATACAGCTGAATATTAATCACAGCGACATCCAAGAAGCTCCAACCGCAAAGCAACACCACTTGTGTACCATCTAGAAGGTATAATGCGCACTGCCGTCGCCACCACACTCTCACCAAACAGGTTAGTGACCGGGGTGGTGCCATCAGTGTTACCGATGAACACCTGAAATGTAAACAAACACAATGTTTGAATGATTCTACATAAGTTATGCATTATAGTACAACAAAATGACGAGTCAGTCGGTGATGTTATTATTCATGCAAACCATGTCGCACGCAATTTTAAACCTACATATCCCAGTTCATAATTTAGTCCCTTTAGGACCACTGGAAATTGTGCTCCACTGGAAATTAAAAAACTCAATGCATGGAATGTTAACTTACTGTCCAGTGGTTGCTAAGGCAAAGCGTCTGCCGTTGTTAGGCAAAGCTAATCCGATTACGTGCTTAGACGCTATAGCAGAGCAGTGAAATTCACGCACAACAAAAAAACGTCGACTTTTGAACGTTGTGTTTCTTAAGAAATATGCTCAGTATGATCCAAACGTTAAATAATAACGGAAGAAATTCTACACATATGTCAGTGACAAAAATCGCCGTCATCGATGCCAAAACGTCAAAACTGGTTACTGGTACAGCTGACCTTCAAGTCTGGAAGAAATCGTTCGAAAACTTCCACAAATCTATGCATTTATATC